GGTTCAAGTTTTGGAATCGATGGGTTAGGTCTAAGTCCAAAACTTTAGACTTGAGTTGGGTCCAGGTCAAGTCCCCGTTCAAGTCGACCCGAACCTGACTTGACCCATGGCTGCTTTGTTTTTCATTTTAGTTTTCTGGTAAATGGAGAAAAAAAGGGGAGCCAGCTTGTTTGGTTTTTCCTTTCAACAAATTTAAGGTGTTTGAACCCTTCGACCAGCCTCACCCAAGTCGAAGCCTAACGAATCATTGATTTATTTTTCTCATTAGCTAAGTCCCTCTTGCATTCTTTCAGTTTTTCTCACCCAAAGATGTTCTCTCACACTATCCCCTGTGTTGACATTTAGTTTGTCTGTGGTCCACAGAGTATGGCTACACCCTAAAGGTGGACGAAAAGATTGACATATACAGCTTTGGAGTAGTTCTACTGGAGCTTCTCACCGGTCGTCGACCCCTCGACCCTGAATTTGGCGAGGGCATCAACATAGTCGAGTGGGTTCGAGCCAAGCTAAGGAACAACAGAGGGGTCGAAGAGGCCCTCGACCCCAACGTTGGTGGCCTCTGCAAACACGTTCAAGAAGAGATGTTGTTGGTTCTTCGCATCGCCCTTCTTTGCACAGCAAAGTGCCCAAAGGACCGACCCTCTATGCGAGATGTGCTCACCATGTTAGGCGAGGCAAAGCCAAGGCGTAAGAGCAGCGTCAACAAAGAGAAGCCCATCTTTAGCCCACCCCCTGTTTCTATTCTATTGTAGATAATGGAGAAATATCTCTCTTTGATCTTCGATTCTGGAGAGGCCTTTTGTCTTTTTAAGTATTTTGGCTGAGGCGATTTTTTGAACCTTAATCCTTTGAAATCTTAAACAAGGAAGAGGGTCTGTGTCCTGAAGGGCTGAACACTAAGGAGGCCCTTGCTCTCGGGAGATCTTAGCTTTTACTTTGTTGTATCATAGCAGTTGTATTCATTTTGTTTACATGATCGAAAGAAGAAACGGGTTGTAGGATATGGCGGTTTCTAATTGTAATCGGTGGAATGGGGGTTTTAGGCCCCAAATGTGTGCCAAAAATTCAGTAAGGATTGTCAGTCTTTTCTCTTGTAAGTGCAACGATGTTTCCATTGAAAACATACTCCTCTTGTAAGTTTTTTGACAATTCTATTGAAATTATATTCGATGTTGATAGGGATCCTGAAGGAGTCGGCCGGTGGGTTTTGAACTTAGCCCTCAACCTAGCAGGTCTGGTCCGGATCCAACATTCTCGTACCTGAGTAGGTCGTCTAGGATGGATCTATCCGGACTTGGCTCCATGATGGGTTTCTTTAACCCAACATCTATTGACTCATGATGATCCAATAGATAAGGGATTGTATATTATGAGACCATTTATTTTTATTACAAAGAGGTCATAACTAATCCTAACCATCAGTTTTTAAATTAGATGACTTGGGATGAGTCATGAAGTTTGAGAAATTTTCAATGTAAACTGTGTCGAATTAATGACACACACAGCTAACCGATTGAATCGGACGGACAAGTGTGTTTGTGATCTCCATGTACTAAAATTAAGTGGTCTCTTTGTTAGGGGTGAGAATTTACCCTATCGGGATTTGAAACCCAGATTTCAAACTGTATTAGGATCTGAGTTTGAACCCAAAATTTAGATCCGAAATTCGGATTTGGATCCAAAAATCAAATCCGAAATAAAATCTAGATAAGATCTGGTTGCAGGTGGATCTTGGCCCCGATCCAGATTTGGATCCAATCCGATTTTTTTAAATAGGAAATTTTTATTTTTCAAAATAAATAAATAAAAATATATATATAAGAAAAGTCTTCTCAATACCTATAGGCCAAAATGAATAGTGATTTTATCTAACCTCATCGCCATCTAAATTTCATCATAAGGTCCCGATTGTGTGGTAGTACTTTATTTTTTATTTTTTTTCCACAAATCGGAATGACCTAAAATTTGAAGCGTGTGTAGATATTTGTGAGGCGCACCTAATAAAAATATAAAAAAAGTAATTCGTAAATAAATTGACCAAAATACCCATAAAACATTTCAGAGGTATTTTGGTCAATATTTTTCATGAAAATTTTTTTTTTGATGTTTTTCATAGATTCACCTAGTTTTTATAATCACACTTTCCAAATTTCAGGTTCTTCTAATTTGTAGAAAAAACATGAAAAATGAAATACTATCATACAATTGTGACTGTACGATGAACTTTTGATGGTAATGAAGATAGGCGAAATCACTGTTCATTTTGACCTATAGGCATTTTGT